TACACCATCTCATGTACTTGAGCCCATGGTCGTAGTCACTGTGTCAAACCATCTGTTCAGGTTCATCTTCTCTGTTTCTAACCCTTCACCTTTCCCAGCATGAGGTCTTTTCCCAGAGACTGGCCCCTCCTACCAGCATGCCAAAAGTGGGTGAAGCCAAGTTTCATCATCCTTGCCTCTAACTCTGGTTATACTCCTTCAGGACAGACTTATTCTTTTGTCAATCCTTGAGTTATCCAGTGCTCTTCGAAAAACCACAACTCAAAAGCATCAGTTCTTCTGTCATCTTTATTTATTGTCCAACTCTCAGATGCATATGAAGCAATTGAAAATACAGTGACTTGGATCAGGTGCACCTTAGTCTTTAAACTTGCTTTGTTGCTCTTTAGCACTTTAGAAATTTGGAGAGGGTTTTTTAAATTTTATTTTTATTATTATTAATTTTTGTGAAAATTTAAGATTTTGGATTTCCATTCATTCATTGTTGCGCTTTTCTCCCTACCCACCCCACCCCTCCAGTTCATTCTTCTCTTTGAAAAGTAAAAAAAAAAATTCTTCCATTGTTATACAATCCCTCCCCTCAAGTCCACTCCACTATGCAGCCTTCATTCTGGACTCATGTCATAATAATGATACCTAATCATATATACCTTTTAAACAGTTCTCTTGGAGAACTGTTTATAGCATATTTTCCCAGTTTTTGTTTTCTTAACTGGTGCATTTTAAATAAAATTCTCTTTTCAGGTTTGGAGTGGAAGTCTTTAAAAATCATTAGAAACAGCACAGACAGGGTTTAGCAGGTTGTGCATAGCGTCACTATGAATCACGGGCAACTAAACAGCAAATAACAACAACAACATCCATCTACACAATCAATTGGAACTGAGTCCTAAAAATTATGTTTGCTGAAAACTTTGTTACTTTGATGTCTTTATTTGGTCCTTGGACTTCATGTCTTAAATATGTAATTTTCCCTATCAATTCTGTCGGAAAGACAGTATTTTCAAAGATATTTGTGCAAATCTCTAGTTAATTTTTCTGGAGTACTTCAGGCCATTACAGTGGAAGAAAGGGGTCTGCTTGCATGTATGAGATGCCTAATCCTAGGTGTACGTAGTGAGTAAAGAGTTGCACTACCAACCCAAAGGCAGGCAGTTCGAATCCACCAGCTGTTCTGTGAGAGAATAATGAACAATCCGTTCTCACATGATTTACAGCTTCTGAAAACTGGATGGAAGATCAGCTATGAGTAGGATGTAGCTCAGTGGCAGTGAGAGAAAATTAGAGAGAGAAAGGTATGCATAGAAAGCCCAGAAAAACTCCTGCATATGAAAATAGAAGGAGCTAAACAGTCCCCAAATCCACAACTGTGGTAGTTTAAAGTTAAGAGTTTGCTACTGAGTTATGGATTAAATTGTGCTCCCCCTCCCCCAAAAACCATACTGGTATCCTGAACCTTGTACTAGGGCATGTCATCCCAATTGGTAATTAATAAAGAGTCTTTGGGTACCCATGATGCCGTGGCAGTGTAGCTTGTGTCTTAGACATAATCGTTTGTTTATTGGGTGTTTAAAAATATATTCTTTATTTATATGACCATTCACTTTTATACAGTCCATATATGTTATTTCATTCATGTGTATTTTGTACAGTCATTTCTGTACATTGTGTTTTCCATAATCAATTACTATTTATCCATTATATTTATCTCTCTGTCTCCTCCAGTCCTTGCACCTACCTGTATCTTCCACCCATCCTTCCACTAATCTCTCCTGTCCTAGTGATGTTCTCTTCCTTCTCCCTCCCCTTTTCTCCCCTTTTCCATTTAAACAGTTGTGTATATCTTGTTCTTATTTGCTAATTGCAATAGCAGTATTGTCTTTATCACCATTCTTCTCAGGTTGATCCTGCCTTATCTGGGTCCTTGTAGTGTTCTCCCTCTGCCTACCCATTCCATTTCTATTCTTCCCTTCCCTCGTCCCCACCCCTCAGTTGCCCTTCTGTTGACACAGTAGAAGTTTTACACAGGACTTATCCTTTTTAACTGAGTTCTTTCACTCAACGTGATACTCATTAGACTGTCCCACTATGTGTCTATTTTACTAATACGTCTTTGTTCTTCAGAGCCCCATAGTATTCCATTGTATGAATATACCCTGGTTTTCTATCCATTCGTTAATGGACATTTGGGTTGTTTCCATTGTCTTGCTATTGTGAATACACTGCTGTGAACATAAGTGTATATAGCTCTGTCTCAGCTCTGATTTCCTTGGGATGTATTCCCAGCAGTGGGACAGTTAGGTCATAGGGGATTTCAAACTGCCTTCCTGAGTGGTTGTAGCATTTTCCAGTCTCCTCAGCAGTGCATGAGAGTTCCACTCTCTCCATATCTTCTCCAACATTTGTTATGTGCTGTCTTGTTAAACGCTGCTACTGCTACTGGGGTGAGATGGCATCTCATTTTTTTGTTTTGATTTTCATCTCTCTGGTTACCAGTGATTTTGAACAGTTATTAATGTGTTTATTGGTCATTGAATGTCCTCCTTTGTGAAGAATCTTGTCATATCTTTTGCCCATTTTACAATTGGGAAATTAATCATTTTTGAGATATAAAAAGATGACTTGGAAACAAAGACAAGCCAGCACAAAATGGGGGAGAAGGGAACACCTATGAGGAACTCTGGAGTTACGGAAACGAAGGCAAGGATCTTCCTCCAGGGTCAGCACAAGAAACATCCCCTAGAGCCAGTGCCCTAAACTCAGATTTCTAAGCTCCCGAACTGTGAGAAATGTATTTCTTTTCTTTAAAGCTATCCAGTTATAGAATGGAACAATGGTCTTATACTATATTTCTTGGATGGTTTTGAGGGTTTGGAAGGGAGGGAGAGGAAAGGAAAAACTAATAAATAGATGAAAAGCACATATTCAGATGGTTGAAAGGAAAGGCAATATCCAATAAGGGATGATCACCTGATCAACATAGTATCACTGAAGACAAGGAATACACAGAGAGGTGTAGAGAGATTGATGAAAATCAGAATTACAGGAAAGAAGTGACAAAATGAGATTACCTTGTGAAAATTGAAATTGTTATTGAACATAATGTACATGAAATCTGAATGAATAATTAATTTGCTTTGTGAACTTTCACTCAAGCCCCAATTCGAAATAAAAGAAGGGGGGAGAAGGTGCTTTAGGAATGTGGATGCAGAGGAAGTAGATCGCTGCCCAGGTTACATTTTCATTTATCTGCATTGTGGTCAAAAGGTGCAAGGAAGGGAACACTTTGATCTGCTCCTTCATGACATGATTAAAAGTGTGTACTATTTGGAGGAAATGCAAGTCAATAAAAGAATCAGTCCACATCTATCCGGGGAATTTGGTCATGGTCTTCTGCAGGGCATGTTGTGTCCTTGCACTGTGTCCTTAGGAATAATAGCCTAGATGACAGGTGGACGTTCCTCCCTCATTCTCTGTTCATTGTTTCCAGCTGAGTAGGCTGCTCCTGGTTTTCGAGCGTCTTGTAGGATCTTGGGAGATTAAATAGGCCTCCAACCTCCATCCTGAAAGTTCAGAATATTACTTCACAGTTGTCCTCAACAGCCCAGCCCTTTATTGCTTTTTTCACTTTTTCTCCTTCATGGTACCTTAGGTGGTCCTACATACTCTGTTGTTGTTGTTGTTGTTGTTGTTAGCTGCCATCAAGTCCACCCTCAATTCATGGTGACCCCATGCCCAGCTGAACAAGATTCTGCCAGGTCCCATGAATCCATACAGTCTCCATGGATTTCAGTAGATCAGGAGGTCTGTCTTCTTAGTCTGTCTTAATCTGAAAGCTTCAAAATTCAACATCATGTTGTTATTGTTGGGTGCCATCGAGTTGACTGCGATTCATAGTGACTCTGAACAATGGATCTGAATCTTGCTCTATCTTGTGCCATCCTCACCATTTCTTGAGCCCATTGTCACTGTGTCAGTCCCGCTTGTTGAGGGCCTTGCTTCAATATAGAAGACCCTCCAACTTTCCAAGCATGATGTCTTTTTTCAAGGGCTGGCCCCTCCTTACAATATGCCTGAAATATGTGACAAGAAGCTTTACCATTTTTGCCTCTAAGGAGCACCTGATTGCACAAAACATCTTTGCTCTTTTGGCAGTCCATGGGATATTCGATACTCTTCTCCACTAACACAACTTGAAAGCAGCAATTCTTCTTCTGTCATCTTGACTCACTTTTACTCACTTTTCAATTTCTGGATGCTTAGCAAGTAATTGAAAAGTCCATGGCTTGAATCAGATGCACCTTAGTTTTTAAACGGATAATGTTATTCCTTAACATATAAGCCTTCACCAATAGCAAGCAGTGACTTCATATGAGACCAGGAAATGCCCCTGGGTCTTCCATATGGAAAGAGGCATTTTCTACCACTGAAACATCAATGCTAAGAGGTACTTGCTTAATATTTCAGAATCTTGACCATTTCAGGGCAGCAGGAGGGCGAACATATTTATCTGCTCACTGCTGTTCACATTGCTTTCTGTTGGCTCTTGTCTCTATATAACTGCCTCCTGTTATCTTTGCCCTGTTGCATACCTCCCATTAGCACTTTGGAGTCTCTTCTCAGTGTTGCAGGGTCCTGCTGGGTCTCATTAGTGTTTCTGGGAAAAGATTAATATCAAAACATTTTCCATCCAGCCTGTTCTAACTCATGAAGACCTGTGTGTGTTAGAGTAGGACCCTGTTCCTTACAATGTTCAAGGCCATGCTCTTCCATGAGCAGATTGCCAAGTCTCTCTTCAGAGGTTCCTGTGAGTGGAATTGAACTCCAACCCTTTGGCTAATAGTTGATTGTGCCACCATTTTTGCCACTCAGGGACTCTGGGAAAAGAATAAAGTGGTACAAATGAAGATGTTGAAAGTTTGAGAACCATCACCATGTTTGTATCTTCAACAATATTTCTTTTCCTTAAACAATATTTTTTATTTATTTTACTTTTTTAGGAGTCTGAAGCCTTATTCCTCAAGGCAATTAAAGCTAATCCAAATGCTGCAAGTTACCATGGTAATTTGGGTAAGAAACTTTTTCAGTTTGAATAATACTGAAATTATATGCCACTTGACAGCATTCATGTGTTCTTATCAAAGTCATATTTTGAGAGTGATTTTTCACATTCCAGCCTGTATTGTCTTCTATAATCTGTTTTGAAAAATAATTTTTAAGAAAATTCCCACAATAGAAAGAGAGCTAAACAATAGTAATATTTACAAAGAATTTAGCGTGATCCAACAGTCCCCAGATTCCTCACTCAGTTACTCACTTTCTTATAAGTTAAACAAGGATTTCCACCCTCTGTGCAGAGGATTGTAAAACACTAAGCTGAAAATTATTTGGGAATTTTCTAGTCTTACTCTGGTGACTTCGTGGTGAGGATTGCATTGCCATCCAAAGGCATGCAGTTTGAATCCACTAACTATTCCATAGAGGAGAGATGGACATTCTCCTCCTGTGAAATTTACTGTCTCTGAAAACCTGCTGGAGTGTCAGCTGTGAGTCGGTTCTGACTCAACTGTATGTAATAATAACAACAACAATCTCGGTTACCTCGCTTCCAGACCATCTTCTGTGCAGACTTAGCTTCCTGTTCTAGCCTGGTCCCGTCTGCTTTTATCCTTTTGCTAAAGATGCCTTTGCAATGATTATCCTCTAGAACTCCTTTCTTCCATTTGTACATCATAATATTTATGATTTTTAGAAAGTCCACCTCACTGCCATTAAGTTGATTCAGACCCAGAGTGACCCTGTAAGACAGAGTAGAACTGTCCCATAGAGTTTCCAAGACAGTAAATCTTTATGGGAGCAGATTGTCCCATCTTTCCCTCATGGAGCGGTTGGTGTGTTTGAACCACTGACCTTTTAGTTAGCCACCAGTTGTCTTAACTACAGCGCTACCAGAGCTCCTTTTAGAACATGTCGTTGTCTTTGATTGCTCTTGAGTTGAGCATGACTCATAGAGACTGCATGAACAAAAGACCTAAAGTACTTCTATATGTAACTATTGTCATTTCTCAAAGTTCATAGAGTTTCCAGACGCATGTTATTTAGGAAGTGGATAAATGTTTAGAATTCTCCATCTATTTTGACCTTGTAGAAAGTTAGTTTTAATTACAAAATCATTCTGGCAACCAAAGGCCTATAAGGTAAATCGTTACATCTATTTAAACTATTATTTTATAACCAAATCTTTAAGATTAAAGCCCTCATTGTCAACTCGTATGAAACAAGGGGTTACTTTTGCAAATGGTGAAGAGAAATTATTAAGATAAACCAGCAGCTTTGGGCCATAGCCCAGGCTCTAAGTAGTACCTGAAGGCCAGCAAAATCTTGTCGGGCTTCCTGGAAGTTGCACGGCAGCCTGAAGAAATTGAATGTGCAATTCTTTTTACTTCTTCTAGTAATATATTTAGTGATTTGAAGGACCCCAAAAATAGCAGGTGGTGGTTAGAAAGGCCAACCACCAGGGAATATAATTACAATAAATAGAATTTGTGGTACAAAAAATATTTTCTTAAACCATTTTTGAAAAGTGTTTGTAAAGGTTCTGTCATAATTCTTTGTTCAAGTGATTCTCTAAGTGATGGAAGTTACTCAGAAGCATTTCCAATGAAATTTATCCCCTGCTATTTCAGCTGTGCTTTATCATCGTTGGGGACATTTAGACTTAGCCAAAAAACACTATGAAATCTCTCTGCGACTCGACCCTGCCGCACCAGGAACTAAGGAGAATTATGGTCTTCTCAGAAGAAAGCTAGAACAATTGCAAAAGAGAGACGTCTGATCTTTTGTTTCTCACCCTTTGTTTGTTTTTAATGTATGTGTGTGTGCATGAGGCTGACCATTATGTTATATGATTCCAGTTAAGCATCTCAAAGGTCTATTTAAAAGCTCTAGTGTTCTTTAATTCTGAGAAACTTTTTCCTATTAAAAAAATAAAAACATGCAAAAAGGTTATAGCACCAGCAATATAGTCTTGAATGCTCAATATGGTTTTTGCATTGAAAATGTATTTTTTCAGACAACTCTCATGTAAATCCTTAAATTCAAAGAAAGAAGTCTTTTTTATAATAAAAACAAAAGGAGAAAAAAGTATCTCATAGTAATTTTCAACTTGCCTTTAGGATGTGAGCATTGTTGTAGTGTGTGGACGAGCACTATTAAACTTATGTTGTAATCAAGAAATGACAAAGTGGCCCTGACAGTTTATATATATATATAGTCAAATGTGTCTGTATATTAGAATTTTTATTTAATGACCAGAAAGAATAAATTATGCTTTTGTTCTAATTTTTTTTAAAAAAAACAACCCAGTGTATACTATGAACTTCATTTGTAAGGAAATATTTATTTGTATTGTTATGTTTTGAACAGAGTAACTAATTGAATAAAGAATGACAATTTTAGCACCTAGGATCTCTATATACTTTTCTTATTTAGAGACAAATTGATTCATGCAACATTGTTGGTTTTTTTTATTTTCTGGCTTCTGCTGTGTCCGTGTGTGGAAATTTCTATTCTGCACAAACTAAACTTTCACTATTGTAGAAAATCAAAGTCTTGCTTTAGGCAAAAACAGACAGCCTGATGTCTTCATTACTTTCAAGTTGTTTTGTGGGTTGGATTCTTGTTTTGTTTTTGTTTTTTTAATATATCCAGCATTAAGAGGGTTACACATCTTTGTGAGTTGCTTTTTTTTTTTAATTATACTAGTTTATTTACAAAATTCAAATACCTTGTTTTCCAGACCAGATTCTGTGAATTGCTTTTTAATGTTTATAACTGTAGTGTCCTGTTTTGTGTAAGGGACCTTATATATCCACAAAGTTCAAGAAGAAAAGTTCCTTCCAAGAGCTGTAATTCTACTCATTTTGGGGAATTTTATAATTTTTAAGTATTCTTTTCTTGTTTAATTTAGCTTATGGTAATCATGTATATTTGTTTTGTTTTGCCCTTCTATATATACTTTTGATCTCATGGTTTATGCAATCTCTGTAATTTCTTATACAGTAAAATTATTACACAGAATTGGTATGAAATTGTCAAGTTGTCCTCTTAATGTATTATTTTCAAGTTATCAAATGCTACGCCCTGTTGTTGTTGTCGATTGCCTTCAAGTCAAGCACAACTCATAGAGACCCTGTGAACAGAAGGCCTGAAATCAATGTGACCATTTCATCTTTGTGCTTTCTGTCTGATTTAGGGACCATTAATTGAATTTGCACTGTGGAATTATCCAAACATAGAAAAAAGAGTGAATAGACCCATATTAAGAAGAAGTAAATTCTTCACTCACCATTTTGGGGACAGATCTTTCTAGAACTGTAAATTAATCATCCAAACTTAAAGTGATTTGAGATATACTTTACCATACCCTCCCCCCAAAAGAATCTACTGTATTTAAAACATTTCCTAAATGGTCTCAAAATAACAATTTCTTTACCTTTTATAGACACACCCTGTCTTATTCTTATTTATGCTCCTGTAGTGTTTAACTTGGCAGATAATAGATGCATTTATATGCTTTGTTGATTTAAAAAAAAAATACAAGTTGTTTCCTTAAAAATTTACTGGCCTTTTGAGAGTAAAGAAGTGACATTTCTGGTAAAAGGCCCTTCAGGATTCATTTTTTCCCCTTACTGATAGTAAAACTTTACTGTCAAATCAAGATGTACAAATCTGGGATCCCAGCCTACAGAGCTAAATTCCCTAATGTTCACTGCTTTCTCTCTCAGGATTCCCACCGCAGCTGTTTTCTTTCCAGAGAAAACAGTCATTAACTTGATGGATAGCTCAGGAAGTCTTTTATCTCTACAGATTTTGGAAGAGTACTACATCGGCTCTTTTCCTCCTCATTTTTTCATTTTAACACATCAGCCCTCTTTATTTCTTCACAAGATTCCAGTAGAAATATATTTCAGATATATGTTTTTCCATATTAATGGTATTATTGCTTATCACAGATGGGATAGAGAAACTCCAAAATAAACAGATGTATTCATTTCCTAGGGCTGTTTAAAAAATTACCACAGATTATATGGCTTGAAGCAAGAGACGTTTGTTCTTACAATTCTGAAGACTAATAGTGCAGATTCATGTTCTCTCCTAAGGTTTTCAGGGAAAGATCCTCTCTTGATGTGTCCAGCTGTGGGAAGCCACAGGTGTTCCTGGCCTTTTCCATCTGTACCTTTGTTTTCATTTGACTTCCTGTGTCTACGACCCAATCAATAGGGAGTTGTGTTGCCAGCCCAAGAGTTGTTGTTGTTGTTATGTGTCTTCGAGTTGCTTGCGACTCATAGCAAGCCTATGTACAACAGCCCTAAACCCTGCTCTATCGTGTGCCAATCGCACTGCCACTGA